AAAACAAAATTTTTTTATAGACAAAAAACATACAAAATTTAAGAAAATCTAAAAAAAAATTATATAGTAAAAATTTTAATACAAGAACTTTAAACCTTTATTATACTAAAATTCTTTAATAAAATTAATAATACAAATTTAAAATTAAAATTTTTATTTAGAAAATATATAACTAAAATTAATATTTAAAATTTTATTAAAAAAATTAAAATTTTTAATAAAAATACTAGCATATTTGTCTGTGTTACAAATTAAAAGATGCTAAGATACTATACTAAGATACTATACTAAAATACTATACTAAAATACTATATTAGAATATTATAATAAGATACTATACTAAAGGGTGTGGCAACTTAGTGAAGTGGTGGAGTTGTCGCACCTCCAAATGGCAGGTCTAGATTTCGAATCCCACGGATGACGATTTTGAAAAAACTAGATCTGTATTGGTTAACGTGAAGATTATCAGTTAGATTCAGATATCTGTAATCTTGGTTATACCATCTCGAATGGAAGCTTTGGCGCAATAAAATACAGGAAACTAGAATTACCAAAAACCCGTTTGGCAAGTTCTGAGTTGGGAGTAGTAGTGATCTTTGATGGTGCTACAGGAAGACTAAATTTGTAACTGGAAACTGAGACCAGAGAACCAAGTGACCAGGTCTTTAAGTGAGGGGACACACCAGCCGAACCACCAGCTTGCCACCAGAGGAAAAGAACTTGTATTCCAGAAGTATGTGCCAAGGGGAGGGAGACCATAAGGCATCTAAAGCCTGGGCAGACCAACCCTTCCGGGTTGCTGGCTGGAAGTAAGGGAGAGACTGATAAGAAATCCGAAAAAGAAGGAAGTTAGAACGTGGGTACTGGAGTTGTTGTGAACCTTGCAAGGGCAGGAGTACGTAAGTGAAAACTAATTAGAAAGGTTGTGGCTTGAAATATGAATCGGGTTATGGCAGTATCTGAAATGATAGCTTGAGATACGGACCTGGTAGCGGCAGCACAACATGTTCTAGTTGGAGAAAATTACCAAATATGCAGGTGAGTATATGTGTGGGACATGTACTATTCTGTTAGGTTTACTACAAGGATAAATGCCTATATATAGCTAAAGTCTTAGAGTTCTTATATGGCATTGCTAATCTTATTAAGAGTGTTAGAGTAAAGCATGTTACAGAAATGGAGCCTGAGGATTTAAATGGGTATCCTCTATAGTTGGGTGCAGGTATGGCAGCTAGTGTAGAACCTAGGGCAGACTACTTAAATAGATAACCAAAAGTTGCATGTATAGCTAGTTGTACTCTCGTTAGTTAAATAATCAGAGAGCTTAAATAGGTAATCTCCTAGTTAGATTGCAGGTATGGCGACTAGTGTAGAACCCAGATGGACTACTTAAATTAGGTATCAAAAGTACATGTATGGCTAGTTGTATCCTCGTGAAATTGATGTAATATCATATTTATCTGAATAAAGCTAAGTGCTGGAAACCTAAGTGGTCACCTTAATATTAAAAAAAAAAAAAAAAAATTCTCAGTTAGTATAGATAGCACTAACAACTTTAAAGTAGTATTGGGATTTTGTTTGGGAGAATAACTGGGTGGTAACTAGTATTAGAATAGTAAGAAAAGTGGTAAATACAAAAAAATCTGTAGTAAAGAATTAGCCTTATCAGATTTGAAATACCTTTGGCACTGTGTAGAGTTACTTATCAAAAAGAGGCTGAAGCATAGAAATGTGTATATGTCAAGACCCAACGGAGCTTTGGGTATACCCATATGGGAGTCTTTGGATATTATAAGAGTCTAAGACTACCAAAACTAGTATAGCTAATACAAGTATATATAGTATGTAACTGGGGGCTACAACTGCCAAGAATTACAATAAAAAAAAAACAATAATGTACCTGTTACAAACTTTGAGCTTCATGATACTATCCAACTATAAAAAGCTTTGGAAGTGCAGAGTAATCTGTTATAAAACATGCTCAGATATCTTACTATTATAAAAGGAAGTATAGCTGTTTGTACAATTATCAAATTTAATATATTAAAACCTGAGTTCTAAAAGTTGCAAGAAAGTTGATGGTTGTGGCAGTATATAGGCTTGAGATACTTATCCAATGTAGTAAAGGCAGCTGCATGGCTTGAAATATAAAACCCAACAAGTATATCAAGTAGAGATACAAACTAGATATACCAAATTAGAAGCAAAAAGTGTCTACCTAAAGTATTAACACACTAATTTAAGAGTTGAGATAGTAGATAAAGTGAGTAAAGCAAAGGACATGTAGAAGTTAATTAGAGGCAGATAAGAATATACAAAATTCAGATCAATTATATATATAAGAATATTGATGGCTTGGGAGGTTTTAGTTATGAATAAATAGTTTGTATATCTAAAGTCCTAGTCTCAATACTAATATATAGTATATATATGTTTATAGACTGCTATATGTAGAGATGAGGATGGGCTGGGTCGAGCTGGGCTTAGTCAGGCCCAAACCAAGACCCAAAAAATATTTTGGGCCCAAGCCTGGCCTGAAAAAAAAAGCCTGGGATAGCAGGCCCTGGGCTGGGCTTTATTAAAAATTAGGCCCAGCCCAACTAGGCTTGCCAACTTTAAAATTAATAGTTTAACTTTGATTAGCCAATTAAATGTTGAGGCATTATCAAAATTTAACTACCTGTGGATCTATAGTTATGATTCCAATCTAATTGATAAATAACTATATAGGTCATATAGGTATAATACAAAAATGATGTCTAATGAAACCTACATGACCTAACAAAATCATGTAGTTTCATCATTTTGTTAGTAATGAAACATGAGTTTTATCAATTTATCAAGGCAAAAATAGTTTCATCAGATATCTATAATACAAATTAATCACTTTTTTGGTCCTTTTTTTAATTTAGCTTCATACTAATATATTTCTTTCTCTATACTTTTAGAGCTTCAAATTCATACCCTTCACGAAATATATTATATACTTGTTTCACTATGGAACTGCTAACATTCAACATTCCAATAACAAGATCTTGATAATGGATAAATATTTTCTATCCTTTTTGATTTTGTTATTATAACAACTTACTACATTAGCAGATTGAAAATATTTGAGCTTCTCCAACTTTTTTGATTCTAATTCTCTTTTAATAAAAACTATAAACAGTAGCATTAGTCTGTAATAAAATTGCTATAAATATAAAAAGGCAAAATTGCCTTGTGAAAATAACTGTTATTCCAATATAGCTAGAGTATATAATTAGAATAGATGCATAAATAGGTTTGTAATAATTGTTATTTAAATTGACTTTATACACTTTTAGTTTTAAAATTAAATATATTCTAACTAGATTCAGAATTAACAAGTTTAAAATTTTCAACAGTTTAGGTGAATTTCTATTATCATAATTTCCGAGACACCTGCATATTGCCCAAAATTATTTTGGTTATTTAATAAATTACCTGACTCTCTGAAAACTACATCGCTATCTTCAGACCTTCAGTTTGGAGACAACAATATAGTTTCTGGAGAGTTAGATAATTACTAATGACCAAAATAATTTAGAGTAATGAGAAAATATCTCAGAAATTATGATAATAAGGTGATTCAAACCTAATGCTCAGGGTTTCTGATTTTGAATTAAATTAGTGATGTAATTATTTTAATATCAGCAATTTGTAAAATTTATTTATTTTGAGCTATAAGCTTATTTCTGTATTTATATAACAATAATTAATACTTTTTACAATCATAAATTTTCTTTTGAACTTTATAGCTTTATATCTTTCATATTTTAAAATGCCTGATAGACAATTAAATATTAAAAACAAATAATATTTTAGAAGTACTAATAGAAGAATATTCTAATAATATTCATAAAAAAAAAAAATTGTTATTCTTAAAAAAGAAATTAATAGTTACTCATTTTATCTCTGAATAACACCTATTTCATTTTCTGATTTCGAAATTTTAACCCAGAAATAGGACTTTTTAAATGGCTACTTGTTTTTGAAATAAGTTAACTTTGAATTACTCTAATAGCTATAAGTGAATTTAGAATCAACTTACTAATTTATGTTGATTTTAACAAGATTCAATTTTGATATATAACATATTTAAACAATTTTTTATAAAGCTATATAACATCGTAATTTTAAATTGTACAAAGTAAAAAAAAATTTATTCAATTCTTTTTTTTTAGTTTATTTATTTATAATTGCTATATGATTAAAATAATTTGTCTACATGTCTTGGTCAGGTCTATTCTGTATGATATTATGATAACTTAAAAGGTGAAAAATTAAGTTTGATATTGAGCCACTTATGACTTTTAATTGCACATTACATTTTTGCTCTAAATTATCATTTATATTACAAATTTTGTATATAACTTCATCAAATACTTTTTTTTCAAAGTATTTTCATACCCAATTTCACCTATTAGGTCTTGTAAAGCTTGAAGTGATTTGTCAGATAACTAAGCTGATGAGAAAAATTGCAAATTTTTATCTTTCATTGTTTTTTTTTAGTTGATTTGATTTTGTAAAATGATTTTAATCAAAAATTAAAAGACTTGGTTTAATATAATAATTATTTTATTACTACATCCAAAAATATTATTAATTTATTACTTTTAACTTTATTTATATAAAGTTTTTTCTGTAGTATAATAGATTTGTATATATGCGTTATGTTATTCATATGCATATACATGATATCTCTGGGTTTTTTTTAAGCTATTTTTTTAGTAGTTCCTAAAGTTTCCCCAAAGAAATATTTGTGGTCTGGGTTTTATCATTTAAATTATACAATTGTTCTAGTATTGCTATCAATATTTTACTTTACTTTAATATATTTTTTATATTATCTTATTTGAGCTTGTTCAAAGCAAGACTGTTATTTCACAAATTCTATGAATACATGTAAAATCATGAAATTGGTTCATGATCTACTTGAAAAAAAAAAATTTATTGTTACTATGAAATCTGGTCCAAGCCTATGAAAAGAAGCGCTGAGTTTCTAAAAGAAGAAATATAGACAAATCACGACCAAAATAGAAGCTAAGCCTCTTTTCCAAAACCATCAAGTTCTTATGCAGTTTGAATAAACCAGTTAACCAAGCCTGTTCTTGTAAATAAGCATAGAGCTGTCCTGCTAATACTATTGCAGAAAGAATAGAGTTGGCTCTCTGTATCCAAATAAAGTCTTGGGATAAACCTGTAGTTCAATATTGTTAGATTAAATATTTAAAATCAGAAACTTGTATTTTTAATAATCAAAAGTTCATATTTTTTTTTAACTTAATAAAATTTTAAAGGAATGATAGTTACATGTCACTATTTTGCTAGTTATTAGCAAAGATCTTAGTATGGTGCAGGAAATTTTAAATTATCTTAACTTTTTACATAAAATAGTTTATCAAGAATAATATGTATGTAATACCAACTATTTTACATATGCATGTTGTTGAACCTTTAAAATATGCCACTGCTAAATTTAGCTTATCTCTAATATATAGTTAATCTTTATTCTATATATAGTGATCTAGTTTTTAGATTTCTCACACCGTACATATGTATATATATAGAATATATATATATATACTTTCTTAACAAATTGCTGCAGTTATTATGTGTGTATTGTTCAAATTTCTAATTTGAAATCTATAATGTGATCATAATGAAATTTAAACTACAGATCAATGATAAATCATAATATTTAACAATACACTTATTATTCTTCTCTCTTTTGCTCTTGTTTGATAAAGTTACTATACCATAATTACAGTATGTGTAAGTGAACTGCTATATTATTTTTAATACATCTAATTTAAGAAATCTTAATCCTAATCACTTTTACAATCTATACGTATCACTGAACACTAAAATTGATATAATATGACATCTTTGTTTTAAATTTTTTTTGTTAAAAAACACCAAATCTGTAAAAGAGCATGATTATTACTATTTTTGAATTAAAGATTATATAATTTTATAAACACAATAAAGCTCACATATTATATTGTAAAGACAATAGTAAATGCAAGAATTCTATGATTCACTAATTTGAAATAGCAATGATGGAGCTTGCTTTAATTAAGTCAGTGTATATAATACATAAT